CCCAGAGCAATATATATAAACAATTACAAATAAGTTACAAAACGCTACTTATAAGTAATACAGGGTTTCAAATAATAATACAGGATAGAACTGCACAACAACTATTGGGTATGCTCCCCCTTATCCGGACACGTTTAAATACCCCCTAGCTCAGGTTCCCCACCCGCTACTGTAACTAAAATCACAGCCCACGTTATGGAGGTTCACCCGCTAGGCAGATACACCCTAATTCAAAGCATGGAAATATTAAAATCAGTTATAGATGGCTTCTAAAATAATATAAATCTTAATCTGAGCCCCTACACTTACTTTGTTAAAAATGCTAACTTGTTAAAATATTCAGACTAAATAGGACAAAGGAATTATTTTACCATTTTTTCAGTTCATTTGTTACCAGTTCCTGCATATGTCCAGTAATTCCTTAGTCCTGGATAATAAAGCTGAAAAACACTCCACAAATTGATTAGCTTAGGCAATTACATTTACAAAACAATGCAGTTTATTTTTTCTCATACAGGCAAGACTACCCACCCCCAACAAGGACAAATTCTCCCCCAGCTGTAGCTGAAAAGCATGGTCACACAGCTGTTAAAAAGGTGGTCTCTCCTTCATGAGTCAAAATCATATATATATTTATACTAATATTCTGTGTATACGCACACATAAATCTATTATTCACTGAATCTGCTTTACTAAACGTATCTTTTTCTTAACTACTAATTTAATACATTTTGTCCAAATCTCTTTTCAACTAGACAAATCCATGAATGCCAAACAAATGTAAATTAGTACACAAACAGGGTCAAATTTAGCAATAAAACCTGGTGAACTAGTTTAGTGAAAAGTCTTTTCCTATGCAAATGTAGCAAACAATGAAACTAGGCCTCAACTCATTCACACCATGTGGTCAATGGTGGATTAAAATCCACATGGTCAGACAAAAAGTAAAATTGTTTTTTGTTTTATATATAAAAATGACCAAAGGTTGGTAAAACGTAACAAGCAACACAATAATTCATCACTATGTTCTACAACAAGAGATACCTTAAAAAACAAATATCTAATCCCTATCTGCTATCTGCATTCATTCCATTAAAACCAAATCATTATTCATTTATTCATTTGTATACAGACAGACAATTTACAGTATGATTTAAGCAAAATGCATAACATTTATATTTTCCCCAATATTCAAGCATAATCCTGCCGACTACGCCAAATGTTGTGGTGTGACCTAAATATGAATATTAATCTCTTAATACATAATAATTAAGCAATACGGAACAACATTAATATTTTTATAATTCATGGTATTATGGTCGAATATGTGGATAGAAAATACACAAAACGTTGTAATATTAAATGTATATTTAATATAACTATAATAAATAAACAGATGCTAGCGGAATGTCAATTTCAATAATTATACAATACAATACTACACAAAACACTATTGGTTGCTAAGGCTATTACAATTGCTAACTGTTACAATACAAACATATTACTTACAAGGCCCCAGCCAAAGGGCTGGGGCTAAATCAGAGCTGGTGCTACATGATCAGTCAGGTACAGGCAAACAGAGAGCTATCTTCTCCTCACATCTGGGTTTTATTCAGTGTAAGTAGGCTGGCCTGTGATGTCACTGCCAGAAGCACAGGTCTTCCTACACACTCCCCCTAGTGGTGCCCCCAAAGCATTACACTAAATATGCTTTACTGACATCTAGTGGTGCGTCTAAAGCATTAAGCTCATTATGCTTTTTTTTTATGACAAAAAGTCATTAATTAATAAATACCATTACACCAAGTAAGGAATTTTCTCCTCCATCCCTATGTGATTACGTTTTTAACATCACTGAGTAGTTTGTGGTAGTTTGCTTTGTATAGTGTGGAAGTAGTTGGCATGATGTTTATCCCTAAGTACTTGAGATGGTTTTGTCTCCAGTCCTATTTGAAGGCCTGTTTGAGAGTCAGCATTTCTTTGTGTGGGACATTTGTGCTAAGGGCTAGCATTTTTGTGATGTTGAGTTTGTAATATGAACGTTTGCTGTAGAGTGTGAGGATTTTATGGAAATTCAGGAGGGATATGTGGTTGTTCTAGAGTTAATAGGATGTCGTCTGCGAACAGGGACAATTTATACTCTTCTCTTAGTGTTATACCATTTGGATCGATTGGGTCAGGGGTTCTAGTGCTGAAATATAGAGTAAAGGGGAGAGCTTGCATCCCTGCTGGGACCAATTTGTGATCGTGAGTTGTTGGGATATGAAGCCTCCATTGATTACTTGGGCGGTAGAATTAGAGTAGGGTGTGGTTATAAGGGATATGAATTGTGTTGGGAATCCAAATTTTTGTAGAACTGTGAGGAGGAAAGGCCAGTGTAGTCTATCAAAAGCTTTCTTAGCATCCAGCAAGAGTAAGATACTGTGTTGTGCATCAAGCATGGTTTCATGTTAAATGCATTGACTTTTTCACTGGAAAGGGTTGGATTTAGTGCTTCTCTATCAGATTGGCATCGATAGTGTTCTCTGCCAAACTTAACTGCCTTTTGGTGTGGATTAAGATATGGACTAAAATAAATGATCAAGAATGATTAAGGGGTATCACTGTGCGAATGTTGGGGGTATATTTGTGTGGAGTGTTAAGTGTCTGAATGCGGTGATGTTTTTTGTAGAGTGCCAATGTACATGCAGAAGTGTATCTGTATGAAAGGTTAGTGTGCATGGATCCAGATGGGTTTGTATTTAATTTCCAATGCACATCAACCCCTTACAGCTCCCTCCATCCACCTTTCCCTCAAAAATTGTTCCTCTTGTGCATTCCTCCTCTGTGGACCTCTCCCCATATCCTGCCCCCCACATGCTTGCTTCTCATTACCCCTTCCCTTACTTGTTCCACTCTACTCATACACCTGTCCTTTTCTCCCATTTGGTCCCTCTCATGCATCCCTCCACAACCACATATACCTTAACTCCTCATGCTCTGATTTTGAGGCTGTAGCAGTAACTGCAGGCAGCCTTACAAGAGATCATGCAGGTTGACATATGTTCCTGTAATTCAATCAGCTGCCTGGAAACAGTATAGGACCTGCCATAGCATGTACAAGTGATAAGGATTCCCCTTCTCACCCAAGCACACCATTTACTCGTATTATGCCACCAACAATCAAGGTTGTTTGCAGACCCACAAATATATAAGAAGGTGTTAACCTAGACACGCTTGATGTATGGAACAGTCATTAAAGTTCATTGCAGCGTGGGTAGCTAGTGGTGTTTTAGTAGCTGTCAGGTCTGCCATGGAAGTTAAGATGCCTATGCATTTTATGGCACAGTAGCCCGCTCACATAACCACCCCCACCTTTCTTACAAGAGGACCAACACATACCCATATAGAGACTGCAATCAGTCCCAGACGTGTTCAGAGAGACACAGATACACAATACACCCTAACAGAAACAAGTGGTTGCACATTCAGGAATATCTACATCAAGACAGATACATTCAGGCAAAGGTCTATATGCAGACATGTAGTTAGGAGCCAGAAATTTTAGTCCTTATGCTACTAGCCAGGTTTAGGGCCACTTATAAGGCATATATTTATTCTTCACATTGAGCAGTGTCCTGCCTTGCTGTGGAAACTACCTTTTGCCTTAAAGAGGGACACAGATCACTTTAGCTCATTGAAACATTCTGGGTCCCTCTTAGTACTGCAAGTGTAGAACAATGCAGTTTTAGAAAAGAAAAACGCAATGTTTACAATGCAATACTAAGACTGTCTTTAACTGCAGTCTACCAGACCACTACTAGGAGGCACTTCCAGGAATTTACCATACTGATGATGTCCAGCATCCTTTGGTGCAAAGCATTTACTCTGCAATAAAGGACTTCCTGCGTCAGTGAAATCCCCATAGGGGATGCTTTCCTATGGAGAGAGCCAAATGTACTTTAAGTGCCGCATGTGCGTGAGATCCCCAGTCAGAGCGCATTAGAAAAATGTGTTTAACCCCTTTCAAACCAGTGAGCCACGAGTAAGGGGGTACACCAGAGGTCATGGGTGCCAGGAATACCGATTTGTCACTGACTGACAACTGAAGACACATTTATGTGACTTGTGTACCCACTCAAAAACACACGGGAAGTAGTTGAATTTCCATTTAGGACAAAATTGAGCTGGAGATTCAGTTTCGCTGCCTTCACCAATATAGCTAGTGGAATATAGGAGGCTGGAGTCGAGTGTTAAAATAAGCTATTTAAGTTTTTTTCACCTACCTGAGGCCAGGGAGAGTGATATCCTGATCCATGGTGGTCCAGTGGGAAATAGAGCTTGTTTGCAACTCTATTAGATACCACCAGCACTGGGAAAATAGACCATTAACATGCTCCAATGCAGAGAAAGGAAGCAAGTAAAGGCCAAGTTCTCTCCCCCTCCATGCCTCTGATAAGGGACTGGCTGGCTACTGCAGCTGCCATTGATTGTCTGATTTCTCAGGTTGCTGAGGGTAAGTGGAGTGACCAAAAGACAGGGATAGTCAGTGAGGCCTTTTAGTCTCCTTGCTGGCTTGATCAGCAGATCTTACTCTGGCTGCATTAGAGTGTTGCTAGGCACACCATGTGTGCATGGCTATGGTTAATATTACCATCCCTGATGCCCTAAGCTGTGGGCTTTTGGACATGGCCAGATTTCCCATATGGTTTCATTTATCTTCAGTGATTTCTGCAGAAAGCAGATCCATCTATTGTTAATAGGAGTGCAGCTCATACACCAATTCCATTAGATGATACATAAGCCAAGATCAGGGAGGAAAACCATTGATGAGAGTATGCATAATGACCAGTGACATTTAGATAATCTGTTGCAGACACCATCGAATAGCAAGTCAGCCGAAAGCCACCCAGCCGACAAGCCAACTGCACTGGTCTTCTATAACACTCACATTTGGAATTACATGAGGAGTAATTTAAAACAAAAGAAAACCCAAGACAATTCTTTGATAATGCCAATACGTTTAATTGTGAGCATGGCGTAGTGCAGAACGTCTTGGAAAGTCATTTTCTAGGGATGGAAGTTTGTCCTGACATTGTTACAGTTTTACTTCACAGGGCATTGGCTCTCCAGCTAGGCCTTGCAGCAGATTATTTACGGTCAGGACAGACATTGCGTTTCTTGCGTCGAGAGTGGCACTTCCAATATGAGGTAAAATCACTGTGAAGAACAGAACAAGTTAGCCAGAATATGGAGATATGAGATGTGTATTTTGCACAAATAAGTGCATGCAGTCCTTTAATCCATCATTACAATGGGTTGAGGAAGCATTTCCCACCCTTTTTGCATATGCAATTCTCATTTACCTTTTCAAAAATTAAACTAGAATTGCTTACATTAAAGCCAACTGTCTGGGCACCAAGTTTGTCTCCATATATTAATGGATCTCATTACAGCCAGTGCTTTTATTCTACATATGGTTGTCCTATTCCTTCAAATCCCAGCAATGTCCACATCAAACAATATTAGGGGTCTCCTACAGCAGCTTTCAAATTAAACTTTATTTTACATTGACATGTTTCCATAAATAGATTGACTGCTGCAGAATTGCTTTGTAACCTGTATTCTATTTCCCCCCACCAAACAAGGTGTAACTACAGTATGATAATTCTGTATTGAACACAGAAAATATCTTGACACAAGCAGGTTGTAAATACTACTCCACTTAGAAAGACAAAGCCATTAAAAGTTTAAAAAAAAAAAAAAGGAAAAATAAAAAAAAAACCACATACCACAGTTTTTCAGGCTGAGTAGGGGATGATCTGTCGGAATAGGTTCAGGAGTTGTAACATCCAGGCCAGCAGCTGCAATCTGCCCACTTGTCAAGGCATCATGAAGATCTTCTTGGTTTACTACAGGACCTCTGGGTAGGGAGGATAGAAGTTCAGCAACTCAAATGTAGACATTACAAACCATCTTTATGGTTCATATACATAGGCTTGTTATTTACAATGTTTAATATAAGTACTACAGAACAGATCATTTGTGTGCAAAGCATGTGGCTAAAAGTGCATAACAGGGCAGTATGGGATTTGATGCTTCCCTGCAGAAGGCATATTGTAATATTGCTGTGTGGACACCATACAGAACATACCTGGAAGGAATTTTTTTTTTTTTTTAAGTTTGTGACATTCAAAAACCAGCCCAAACTTCCACTGTGCACATTTACACAATTGGTATCTTAAGTGCTGTTTTGGATGGCCAGCATTTGTTTCTGCCATTTGGAATATGTAGTGTGAGTGTTTCCTTCACTGTGTGAATAGGAGACATTTTGTAAGGAATATTGCATGTGCTGAGGATGCAGTGTGTTTGAGATGTAGAATTTGACAGGGTTTGTAGGGTGTAGCAAATTAATTGTGTGTGCTAGAGATTCTGTGTTTCTAGGGGATGCAGCGCATGTGTGCTGGGATGTAGTTTGTATGTTTGAGTGCAGAGTCTTTATTTTGATTAAGTGTGCATGTGTGCCTGCGCAGGGGATTGGCTTACCACATGTGCACTGCAGCCAATCATGTGTGGTGTGACAGTGAGGTGGATGGCTGAGAGAAGAGCAAAAAGGCTGGGAAGAGATTGTGTAGGTTAGGTGGCAATCTGGAGATGAATTAGGCAGTTGAGGTGGCAGACTAGGGGGAAGGATAAGGGAGATGAGCAGGCAGTTTAGGTGGCAATCTGTAGAATGCTTAGGGAAGTGGTGTCATATTTTGGGGGAATTATGGTGTGTCATCGCTCTGCTTTTTCTCTATCACAGCAGGTGGGATTGCTGGACAGTGCAGCCAAAGTGAGTAAGATGTAGTGTCACCTTGGGAAGACTATAGCTAGCACATTGCAGATTGTGGCTAGTGACAGCTGTGTTGGGCTCTTTGAGAGATTGTAGGACTCTCACCCAGCAGCTGACAGGGTTTAAAGGACCACTCTAAGCATCCAGACTACTTCAGCTTAATGAAGTGGTCTGGGTGCCAGGTCCAGCTAGGCGTAACCCATTCTTTTATAAACATAGCAGTTTCAGAGAAAGCCTCTAGTGGCTGTCTCATTGACAGCCGCTAGAGGCGCTTGTGTGATTCTCACTGTGAAAAATCAGTGAGAGCATGCAAGCGTCCATAGGAAAGCATTGATAATGCTTTCCTATGCGACCAGCTGAATGCGCGCAGCTCCTGCCGCGCGTGTGCATTCAGCCGCCGGGGAAGAACGGAGGAGGAGAGCTCCCCGCTCAGCACTGGAAAAAGGTAAGTTCCCCCTTTCCCCCTTCCAGAGCCAGGCGGGAGGGGGACCCTGAGGGTGGGGGCACCCTCAGGGCACTATAGTGGTCCTTTAAGAATGTTGTGGCCATTGCCCTGATCCACAAAAAATAAAATAAAATAAAAGTCCCATGGTTATTGGGAGAGGAACTGTAGTAAGAAGCATTTACAACAGTCACAGCCCATTCATTCAAACTCCGTTCTTCCACTGGAAGTAGTATGGACAGACATGTGCAATTTGTTTGTCCGAATTTAAATTCTGATGAATTTCAGATGCTTAAAAAATTGCCGAATTTCAGAAGTGCTGAATTTCTGAAAAGTGGCAAAACAGGAGAGGGAGGGAAAATTAAGGGAATGACGACAAGAATCTAACCCCAACCCTACTAGGGTTAGGGGAAATGCCGAAGTTCAGAATTCGAATTGAACTTTTTGCCCATGCACATCCTAGTATTGGATAAGAGATCAGTTTTCTTCATTAGTATTGAAATCTCTTTACAAAACCTTGGACCTTGTGCTCAAGCTTTGCCAGACACTAGACTGTTTCGATGGAGCCTTTTCTGTTATGTAAATTGCATTTTAGACTTTGCAAGTTGTAGTTAGACTGGCAGGGTTGGATTAACATAGGGTCCAGTTGAGCTGCAGCTCCAGGCCCATTGATTTAACAAACAAAAACACAAAGTTTTATACTATTCACTTTTTTCAGCTAGAAGTATGGCTGTAGGGGAACTTTTTGCACTATTCTTGCTGCTTCGATATCTACACTCATTTCCCTTTCTTCTACACTCACTACATACAACTTTTCCTGGTCCCCAGACTAATAGCTTCTGCTGAGCTCAGGGTGCTGTCTGCACAGTATGTCCTTAGGCTGCCTTCCAATCATACAGGCTGGCCTTCCAATTCTTTGAGCAGACACACCCCTTAGGGCAGTTCTGGTTACAATATTTGCGTCAGTGGCCCATACTTTTAACCCATCTGACATCCTGCTTCACTGGACACTGATGTTAGGGTGTTGGATTTACTTGGAAGATGAAGGCAAGAGATTAGCATAAGATATGTATTCTTGTAAATTCATCCTGTGAGGTCCCTCCAGTACCACCTCCACTAGTTACACGCTTGGGAGGTATAGCCATTTTCTGTAGTTAGGCCTAATGGGCTCTTAATCCAGTCACGACTTCTGGTTGGTCTGCCCATTCATGCAGGTGCAGTTTCACCAAGTTTCATTATGCATTTATAAGGCCACCAGTTTATTCCCAAAGATGATGCTCTAGTTACCTCTGCGGTACATTACTTGCAGGGAACCTTAAGGTGTTCCTTCTGATAGGCGGAGAGCATCAGTTTGGGAGAGGGTCGGGGAGAAGACCACCATAGAGCATTTTAGCATTTGGTTTGAACACAGACTTACCGACTTGTGTTGATGAGTATAGCTGTCTTTTTCATTCTCCGAAAGAAGTCTTTATTGCAGAGCCCTTCAGTCTCAGGGGTTAGACAGCAATTCACAATGACAAAGTCTGAATCTTCTGCAATCTTATCATTAGAGACTAAAGATGGGGAGAACAAAGCCAGTTTGACACTCACATTAGTAGAATCAGCCAGAGCAAGCTGCTGCCACACAAACATCTCTAGCTAGTTGTCCCCATTACTTAGTTGATCAAGGTCACTGAAATCTGGCCTTTTAACATAATTTAAGCCAATATGCAGCTACAGTTAGCTATATAAAGTGATAATGCATAAAATCCCTATAGAAACATCTCATCTACAGAAGGGTACCAAGCTTAGGGGACTGACTTCTACACGAGACTGGAAGCACCCAGAGGAGTATCATACTTAAAATATTTTGACTAGTCACAATGGAATGGCATCCATTGGAGGGCTGTATTTATACGATTCCAAGATGGGCCTTAAATCCCCATGCTATTCCCAGTTATAGCATTTATTCTTACCATATTCAGCGTTTATCTCCTTGGCATTTTCAGGTATTTCCTGGAAATCTGTGTATATAAACCTTTTCACACCAAATGGGACAAGACGACGTGCTACAGCCAATCCTAGAGAGAAAATAAAGATGCACACTAAAAATGCAGTTTACATATTTGTAAAGCATTTAATTCTCAAAAAGTGTGGAATCTTAGTTCACCGACCGCACGAGGCTCCTGCCCAAAACAGTTCAGTGTGTGCAGTCAGTCAATTTGGAAAAGTGCATTAAAAAAAAAATAAAAAAAATAAAATAAAATAAAAAATAAACCCATGAACAGAGCCTCCTAGCTCATAGAAGCGATTGTTCCCCTTGTTTGTGGGAGCCAAACTACCGAATAGCGCTCTCCTAACTGTTTGGCAACAAAAAGGTGTTCAAATGTTCTCATCGGTGTTCGGGAAGTTGAGTGTCCAGACACTCAAACAAGTCCCACTGCTCCCTTTTGTGCAAACAAGATGGCCACTGTTTGACTGAACGGTGGCCACCGAGGGAGCGCTCAAATGATGGTTCCCTTTGTAGATAATGGGCCAGGAGGGTGGTCTGCGTTCGGTAGTTTAATCTACCGAACCAATAAAGCTTAAAAACAAACAAACGACAGAAGAAATCCTGAAATCAAGTCTGTTTTCTTCACACTGAAGCATCACAGGAAGCTCACACAAACTAGATTGCCAGTGTTTGCAGTCACTGTTCGGTATTGACTTAAACTTACAGGAAGCTTCTTGAAATTAACTACAGTTTGTTAGAACAGATTTACCCATCAAAATAGCAGCTATAGTTACCAATTCTGCCCAAGCCGATGATGCCTACAGTGCTGTTAGAAAGGCCTGCTCCACACAGCCACATTGGAGACCATGTTTTCCATCCTCCACTAAAATTAAAAAAAAAATAAGCCAATGAAAGTCGATAATTTTGAAGAACTAGAAATTCTTTGCATACTAGCAACAAGCCAAGTAATTTTATAGCAAGACAGGAGGCTTCATATTTGCTTATTTCTTTACTGTAAGTCCCAGCAAAGAAATAGTTAACAATGTTAAAAAAATAAAAAATAAAAATTCAACCAAACATCAGAATATAGTGCCACCAGACTCCTTTTTATATTCTCTCAGGAAACCTTATTTTTAATGGGACACATTTGGTCTTTGTTATATCACACATCTTCCTTATTACCAACTCAGTAGTAGTCACCACATCCACTAATATTTTTTACATTAATTAATTCTCCTTTAAATATCTGGAGATCTGTTCCCATACGGAGGTTTCGCCTGACTTGTTAATCAGCTGGCCGTGGCTCTCCTCAGAAGAGACCGCGGCCCATCCGCGATCTATTACCCGCCGCAGACTACTTCCCATGAGCCCGCGGCTGTTTTTTCTCGCCTTTTCTTCCTCTCCGATGCGTTTTTTCCCGCCCTCTTGCGACGGCTTCATTTGCGGCGGCCGTCTTCCAACCGTGGTGCACTTCCCCGCAGCTCCAGTCTCTGACAGCATCTGCGCGCTGGCAATCAACCGCTTCTGTGGGAACACCTGTTGCCTATATTGTGGACGGGAGGTTTTACCATTACTGATTCAGCCTCATTTCATTAAGAACGATCTGTTTTGCCCCCACACAGGACCAACCTGCTACAACCTGGGTGAACCCCTTTCCTTAAATTGAATGCTTAACATACATTACCATTCATTAAATTTGTGTGGCTGACACCACCTGGTTTTATTTTGTGGGTGACCCCCACCTTCTCATTGCATATATTATATGAATTATACTGGTGATTTCCACCCCCTTTTTTATTCTCCAGTGGGTGACCCCCACTTCATTGACTATTGTATATATTGCTTATTCTGAAATACTAAGTGGTTGACCACCTTTAATTATTGGATGACCCTCCATTAATTGCCCTTTACCATTTATTGTGCCAGACAGTTGTGGGTGACCCCCCACTGTTTTTACATCTCGTGTGGGTGACCCCCACCTCTGATATTCTAATGGAGTTGCCTCATTTTTAATTGACAGCCCTCACTTAGTTTTTTTATATATTGAGAAAGACATTATGTCAGACCGCCAAGACCCCGCAATTTCTGCTGAACTTAAGGAATGGCTTTTCGCCACTAATCGCAGAGTCCATTCCTAAGGCTTTGGCAGAAAAAAGGCTGCGCACACAGATAAAATTGGAAAAAATAAAAAAAAGTTATTTTTAAATAAAATAAAGTCCAATTAGAAAGAAGGAAAAGTCCAATGTTATTGTCCTTACAGATAGTCTTTGCTGTTGACGTCTTCTACTTTGTAGTGAGTCCAATTTATCAGAGCTAATGTCCTAGCTCTGGAATAAAGCGCATACGGCGGTTTGATCCCCGCTTATGGGATATAGATGGGTTCCTCTCTGTGATACGTGTCCAGTTTCTCGAAATAAAAGAGACAGCCAATAGTGCTCACTGTATAGCAATATTGATAAAATAATAAAAGAATGTACTTACAAAACTAGAGCAGACCAACTGCTCCGTGATGACAGCTTGGGTGGATTGATCCCCACCTTGGATTTCTTTAAATGCAGGAAACTTCCAGGGGTTTTCAGGTTTTTTTTTAAAACCAATAAAAATAATAATTAAAAAGCCAGGGTAAAAAGAGTATTATGTGTCTATAAAAAAAGATTATTGGCACAAACAAATGACCAAAAAATACTTTAATATATTTACAAACACAATAATTAAATATCCATAACGCGTTTCGTCTAAGACTTTATCAAATGGAATAACAGATGATACCTGGCTTGTAGGTGTTATATAGGAACATAACTCATTTGAATTTGGCGCCAAAAATTGGTCCGTCCAATCAGAAACAGAATCACATTTAAAACTTAAAATATGTTCAAAACTTAGTATATAATTTATAGTAATATAACTTGTTTCTAATGGTTAGAAATCAAAAACGAGGGTTGGAAAGTATAATTTAGAACATTTTAAAACAATCACGTGACATACGGCACTTCCGCATTTCGGAGGTTTTCGCCGCAATGCCTTATGGGAAATGTAGTTAAAAGTTAGCCGCGAACGGCGGCCGCATACAGAAGTAAAAAAAACCATAATCATACATAACCTAAGAAGATTTAGTGCCTTGGAGGCATTTTCATTGTAGAGCATAGATTTTAAGTTATAAATAAAACAGGTAGGCAGGGGGGCACATAACTAATACATTACTTCCTCAAAATGGAGGTTTTTGCCCAAGTGCAACCTGGGAAATGTAGTTATCTTTAAAAATAAATAAATAAAAAATGAAGTATGGAAGTTTCACCATTGCAAATTAAAATAAAGGTATACAGAATAAGAACTTAATTTGTAAAATACTGGCAACATTAATACAATAAAAATAGATGTATAAAAAGGGATTGTATACATAAAAAGAATATATAAGCCATTCATATTATAGACAGCAATAAATAATACAAATATTATTTAACATAAAAGTCATAAAAAATTGTGTAGATCAAAGTCAGCATTAAGACCATGGGGTATAAGAGTCTGAAGTTTATACACCCATTCCATCTCGGTTTTTCCAAGCAGTTTTTTTATGTCACCTCCACGCCAAGAGGTAAAGCATTTTTTTATACCAATGCATTTTAATAGGCGTGGGTCCTTATTGTGCATAATAAAATGTTTGGATACTGTATGATTTAAGTATCCATTTTTAATATTTCTGCAATGTTCGCTTAGCCTTATCTTTAAGCACCTTGTGGTCATCCCCACATATTGGAGGCCACATGGACACTCAAGCAGATAAATAACATTTTTCGTGTTGCAGCATATAAAATCATAAATATTGTACACTTTTTTTGTCTGATTGGACATAAAACTTGAGACTTTTGATGAAATAAAATGATCAGTGGTTTTGCATACAATACATTGTTTACATCTATAAAAACCCTTTGTCTGGGGAAAAAAAGACAAATTTTTGGGAGGAGATTTTTTAGTAAAATTAGTAGTTAAAATAGATTTAAAATTGGGTGCTCCTCTAAAAACAATATTTGGATGAACAGGTATAATAGAGCTAAGTATCTCATCATGTTTGAGTATATGCCAGTGTTTTCTTATTATTCGTTTAACATCTTTACTTTTATTATTGAAATTAAAAATAACTGGGAGTACTATTGGTTCATTGTTTTCTTTGTTTTTGTATGTTAAAAGTTCTTTTCGTTCCTTTTGTTTGACAGTATTTATAGTAGTGTTCAATTCTGATTCTGAATATTTTTTTTCCATGAATTTATTTTTTAAAAAATCCGCTTGTTCATTAAAATTTTAAATGATTTATCATTTAAAATCCGCTTGTTCATTAAAATTTTAAATGATTAATCATTTAAATACCAATAATAGGGGCATTATTCTTACACACGAATTTAGTAAAGAATCCATAAATTTTCTAGATCTTAATATTTTTATCAACAATGGACAAGTCCAAACAAAAACATTTTTTAAAAAAGTATGTGTAAATACGGCTATAGACAGATCCAGTTGCCATTATAAGCCCTGGCTTGAAAGTGCTCCAAAAAGCCAGTTTTTACGTCTCCGGAGAAATTGCTCAGAACTTACAGATTTTAATGAACAAGCGGATTTTTAAAAAAATAAATTCATGGAAAAAAAATATTCAGAATCAGAATTGAACACTACTATAAATACTGTCAAACAAAAGGAACGAAAAGAACTTTTAACATACAAAAACAAAGAAAACAATGAACCAATAGTACTCCCAGTTATTTTTAATTTTAATAATAAAAGTAAAGATGTTAAACGAATAATAAGAAAACACTGGCATATACTCAAACATGATGAGATACTTAGCTCTATTATACCTGTTCATCCAAATATTGTTTTTAGAGGAGCACCCAATTTTAAATCTATTTTAACTACTAATTTTACTAAAAAATCTCCTCCCAAAAATCTGTCTTTTTTTCCCCAGACAAAGGGTTTTTATAGATGTAAACAATGTATTGTATGCAAAACCACTGATCATTCTATTTCATCAAAAGTCTCAAGTTTTATGTCCAATCAGACAAAACAAGTGTACAATATTTATGATTTTATATGCTGCAACACGAAAAATGTTATTTATCTGCTTGAGTGCCCATGTGGCCTCCAATATGTGGGGATGACCACAAGGTGCTTAAAGATAAGGCTAAGCGAACATTGCAGAAATATTAAAAATGGATACTTAAATCATACAGTATCCAAACATTTTATTATGCACAATAAGGACCCACGCCTATTAAAATGCATTGGTATAAAAAAAATGCTTTACCTCTTGGCGTGGAGGTGACATAAAAAAAACTGCTTGGAAAAACCGAGATGGAATGGGTGTATAAACTTCAGACTCTTATACCCCATGGTCTTAATGCTGACTTTGATCTACACAATTTATGACTTTTATGTTAAATAATATTTGTATTATTTATTGCTGTCTATAATATGAATGGCTTATATATTCTTTTTATGTATACAATCCCTTTTTATACATCTATTTTTATTGTATTAATGTTGCCAGTATTTTACAAATTAAGTTCTTATTCTGTATACCTTTATTTTAATTTGCAATGGTGAAACTTCCATACTTCATTTTTTATTTATTTATTTTTAAAGATAACTACATTTCCCAGGTTGCACTTGGGCAAAAACCTCCATTTTGAGGAAGTAATGTATTAGTTATGTGCCCCCCTGTTTTATTTATAACTTAAAATCTATGCTCTACAATGAAAATGCCTCCAAGGCACTAAATCTTCTTAGGTTATGTATGATTATGGTTTTTTTTACTTCTGTATGCGGCCGCCGTTCGCGGCTAACTTTTAACTACATTTCCCATAAGGCATTGCAGCGAAAACCTCCGAAATGCGGAAGTGCCGTATGTCACGTGATTGTTTTAAAATGTTCTAAATTATACTTTCCAACCCTCGTTTTTGATTTCTAACCATTAGAAACAAGTTATATATTACTATAAATTATATACTAAGTTTTGAACATATTTTAAGTTTTAAATGTGATTCTGTTTCTGATTGGACGGACCAATTTTTGGCGCCAAATTCAAATGAGTTATGTTCCTATATAACACCTACAAGCCAGGTATCATCTGTTATTCCATTTGATAAAGTCTTAGACGAAACGCGTTATGGATATTTAATTATTGTGTTTGTAAATATATTAAAGTATTTTTTGGTCATTTGTTTGTGCCAATAATCTTTTTTTATAGACACATAATACTCTTTTTACCCTGGCTTTTTAATTATTATTTTTATTGGTTTTAAAAAAAAACCTGAAAACCCCTGGAAGTTTCCTGCATTTAAAGAAATCCAAGGTGGGGATCAATCCACCCAAGCTGTCATCACGGAGCAGTTGGTCTGCTCTGGTTTTGTAAGTACATTCTTTTATTATTTTATCAATATTGCTATACAGTGAGCACTATTGGCTGTCTCTTTTATTTCGAGAAACTGGACACGTATCACAGAGAGGAACCC